TAGTGTTAAACATTTCAAGTTTGTTGTACGTGAGGGTGTCCATGAAAGGTAAAACAGACTTTAGTTGGCATTCACAGGTAAAGTTTATATTATCATGATGACCATTCATATAGTTGGCACACATCATCAGCTAGTCTTTATACTTGAGCCCCACAAGTATGACATCTACATAACAGTTATAAACAAATATTTTCAACTTAGAAGAACAGTCATTTAGCTATTTGAGCTCATAAAAACACATTAGTCGTGATAAGAGCTAAACACGAATCCATGTTAACTTCATTTGCTTGTGCATAGAATTCTCCCTTTAAATTGAAAAAAAGGTCAGTTGCGAATCAGATTAAACTTTTTAATAATTGTCTTTTTAACTCATTTATTAACTGATTTTGGAAAAATACTAATTCCATGTATAAATCATTAGTCTCAACTATATTTCTGCTCATTAATAAAGACTCAATGTCTAGGCTAGCTGTAAAAACTACATTATCAAATCTCATATTGACCATTTCTTTGAAAACTAAAAATGTTCTCATTTAACTATATGATTTGTCTTTCTCAACGATTCTGTTTGACTTGCGGATTCCGTTGCCTAAAGTGTGAAGACGCTTATATTGGCTTCACAATAAGAAGACTAGAGGAACAAATAAAAGAACCCAGTAATCCGAAGTTCTAACGGAAACCCAAGTATTGTTTAACTTGCATTAGCTGATTATGATGTGTTGATGTCTCAAACCATGTTCAAGACCATTGCATAGAAATCGAGACATTACCTAGAAAAAGGAAACTCTTCTGCTTTGGCAAAAGAAGCTAACTTTCAATAACCACCAGAATACTACAGAATTCTAATTAGTAACTTAAGGAATTTTTAAAGTTTCAGTTTTTCACACACTTTATTGTGATTTTCGAATTCTTAAACCTGAAGATGGCCATTGGATTAGTCGAAAGCTTGTGTGTTGTTTCAACATTATTTTGTAGAAGTTGTATAGCAGCATTTTATAAAGATTCTCCTCCTGATATTACTTGTAAGACAACGATGAGAGCTCAACAAGATGTATGTTTAGACTTTGTCTTGCAGATCTTCATTACAATGTATTGGTCAGGCAGAAAAAGAATTAAGTTTGGAGATATTGAATGAATATATAATTTAATCATTATGTGGACTATTATTTGTCTAGTTTTCAGGGCTTTGTTTTTATGCAGATTTCCCAAACACAAATCTGCTGCTACTGTCTTAACAAATATTGGATTCACACCCTTAGGGTTTTTCGTAAATTGAAGAGAATATACATTTAAGTTACAAAAACCGAATTTCTTCTTTATTTCCCTAAGAAACATTATTCCAAAATTTCTAAACTTTAAAATTGTCAATGCTAGACTTAAAAACAAATTGCTTAAAATTGAAACTTCAAACAAATAAAACTAAGAGAAATATCTAAATAATGAATATATAAATATCTACGAGAATTTACGAATGAATTCACTTGTCTTGTTGTTACACATTTAATCTGTTTTATTGAGTACAACCATAATAACAAACTGAAGAAATACATATTTAACCACCTCAGAAAATTACAGCCATTAAAAAATACAATAGAGAGGAGATTTTTTTAAATAAACCTCATAGCATTAATATTAATCTCTCTATTATTATTATACAATGATAGAGAATTAGAAAATAATATTATCAATGGTTTAAAGTTTGATTTAGTCTCGAATAAGATCGGCGTTCATGATAACATAATTTCTTTGTAAAATATTGTGAAGACAGTTTAAGAATTATAACATATATCCTGCCAGTGCTAAAACTTTTAGTAATGTAAAGACCCACATAAACAGCATTTACCTTATAGATATAAATTGGCGTACTTTTGGAAGAAAACCTTTTATCATCAGCAAGAAGGAAAAATGTGCTTTAGATAACTTAAAATGTAACAAACAGATTTGCACTAGTAAACAAGATAAAGGTAACGGTGTTGTGAATCTAGATAAAATAAACTATACTGATTAAACAGATTTTCCTAGAGCACTACTAAGTTCTCTAGAATGATAAAAGATACTTCAATCGCAAAAAAATAAATAGGTTAGATGCTTGTTAGATTTTGAAAAATAAAAGAGAAAGAAAACATCGTCGATAATAGGACCTGCAACAATTTAGACCAGTGGAGTCTCATGCATTTCATCCTAAGGCTTACTAGAGATTTATAGACTTAATTGTCCTATTCGACCTACGGTTTCTAATACAGTTATTTAAATTATACTTTAACCATGCTCTTAAGATTTTTTTCATTGGAGTTCACTTGTGACACTTAAACCTTATGAAACAGTTATAAATTTTCAAAGAAATTGTTAATATGAGGTTTGATAATTAAGTATTTACAGATAGCCTAGATATTGATCTTTATTCACAAATATAAATATTGATTTATGCTTGGAATTACTATTTGCCCAGCTAAATCAGCTAAAAATAAATAAAATAGACAAACATTAAAAAGGTTAATCGAATTTGCAACTAAAGATTTTTTTAATTTAAGAGATTCCCATGAACAGATGAAGTTAGCATGGGTTAGTCTTTAGCTCCTAGCATGGCTAATGTGTTTATGCGTTTTTACAATAAAAATGGCTAAATGAGTGTCCTCAGTTTAGACCGTTTGTTTATAAACACTATGTAGATGACATATTTTTATGTTCAAAGCTGAAGAACAGCTATTGAAATTTGTCGGATATAAAAACGGTCAACATGATAACATATACTTCCCCTTTTATGGATATCCTTGTGTTGTTGTTGTTGTTTTTTTCTCTTTTTTTTTCCAATTAAGGATGACGTTTGTTTTTTCAACGATCTTATGTGATTATGAATTCCGTTGCCTACTGTATGGGGGCACTTATATGGACCAGTTCCATAATAAGATCACTGAGGGAACGTATAAACATAGTAATACGAAGTCTAAAAGCAATTCAATTATTGTTCAATATCTGATAACTGAGCCCCCCAGTGGCACAGTGGTACGTCTGCGGAGTTACAACGCTAGAAACCGGGTTTCGATACCCGTGGTGGGCAGAGCACAGATAGCCCTTGTGTAGCTTTGTGCATAATTAAAAACAAACAAACTGCTAACTGATCATCATGTGTTGCTGTCTAAAAATGTATTCAAGATCATTATAAACAAAGAGAATGAGAGATTGCTTAGAATAGAGAAGACTCTTTTACTTAGGCACAAGAAGCCAGCTCTAAATAACCATCAAAATCATACGGAACTTTTGAATTATTATTAATTTAAGATGTCTTAAAGTTTCAGCTTTTCACACTTGGACAGATATCTTCGTTTAAAATATACTTTTTTTACTTGCTAGAGTTGAGAATGTATTTAGCTCACTTTTTACTTTAGAAATAAGGGCTAGAGTTACACTGGAGATAGAGCATAAATAAAACTCCGTCTCCCTCTCTTTATTTTCAGTCAACCACAAGCACTTCTTGATTTCGTTTTTGTTAAAAAGATTGTGATGGTTTACAACCTGTGCCCAGTTTCTTTCTTTTCTCTAAAGACTCAGTCATAGAAAGAGAAAGTATAAGCACTATTCAGTATTACAATGTTTTGACGAATCCTCCTGTTTTTATTCCTGTAGGCTACTCTGTGGGAATTCAGGGTAATCTGAAAATACCACAACTGGCAACTGCTTTCTGGAGCGGTAAGTAATTATTGCTTCATGGAGCATGAATTAAGATTAACCACGTGCCACTATCTTACAATTGTTGTGAAAGTAGATTCCCTTTATCTTTACTTTATTTATTTTTCTGGAAAAAAAAGAAAAATCTCTTCGACATAGCCATTCAGAGAACATGTCTACAGAACAAAACAAACAACGATCATTAATAATTTTCTTTCCGTATTCCTCTATTGTCGCTATAGAAAGTGTGACACTTCACACTATGTAATTTACTGGGATTAAACTAAGTAAATATTTCTACCGTATACGTTAAAATTCGTATCTCTTCTGACATCACAAAAAAAAAAAAGAGTTGGGTGTGGATATCCTTCTATCTTTATATGATAAGTAAAAACTCTCCATAAACCTACTTACGACCATATTAGAACACTTTTAGCATTAAAACAAAAACAAAAATCATCGTTGGGTGGTAGGCGGCCATCAGAATTTTGATCAGGGCACGAAAGAAGAGTCATTAGAACAACAAAACAAAAACTTTGAACCTTCTTTTATGCTTTTCGTTCACATTGGGGTTTTCTTATTTTTCGCAGTCAGACAGGTTCCGTTCGATTGCCAGACGAATCGAACCGAGTTGAGTCCACCAGAATAGGTGTTATCGGCTCATTTGGTAAAAAAAAATAGTTTGTTTCCTTGGAAATCTCAGTGAGTGCAGAGTGCTAAAAATACGGAAGTAAACCATGGTTAGAAACTCTAAGTTCATTTACAAACGAAGTGAACATGTTTATACAAAAGAGAAGTAGTACACTCATTACGGCAAACGAACTGAAATGAGGTCGTTTGAGACGAACCAAGCGTGGCTTAGCTAGCAACCCGACTTCTTATAATGTTTAAACGCTGAAAGCTCGATAGGATTAGAAACCAACAGGTTTAAAATTTGTAACAAAAATTAACGCATTTGACATGATATTCATAACAAATTTTATGACTACTTATAAGTTTGCTTTGGTGAATCATATATTAGGCCTGCATTAATTTCATTAAATATTAAATTGGATTTTCATATTTCACAATGTAGGCTCCTATTTCCCTTTTTTTTTTTTTTTGTAACAAAAATTATTCAGGAGATGGATTAAATAAAATCTGGTAACTTCAACTTAGAAATTTGAAAGAACTAGGATATACGATATTTTTTTGTACGCTAAAAAAGTGGGTTATCTAAATGACTACAATACATGACGTAAGTTAACATCGACGGTGATTGGCCTACTTTTTCTCAGGTACGGAAGTAAAAGTATTAACCAGCAACGTTTGCTTTAATCTTTATTATTTTATATTTGGTGAAAGAATAACAGTGGAATATAACAATAATGGCAAATGTGAGATCATAGTTTGAAGTTTGCCTTAACAGTTATTTATAACAACATTTCCTTTAAGTTTAATTATAAGTTTGTAACTGTAGTAGTAGTAGTATTACTATTAGTAACCCTCGGACTCGGAGCCAGGTAATGTTTTAAACTTTAATTTAAAGGATTATATCTAGTTCTACACTACCACTAGCAGCACTGGAGTAGGGAAGTGCATAAGTGTTTATAGACTGTTACTTAAGTTGCTTGCACAAGTTATAAACAAATACTGAGATATATAACATTATAAGTGAAGTAGAACTTGTATTTACGTTAGTGGTAACAGAACACCTATTTTATAAAGTATCTGCATATAAAAAGTTTGAATAATCGCAATCAGAATATGCTATTCATAGCCCTCCAGCAAAAAAATATAATAATAATAATAAATAAAAATTCGTAATTGTTACATTGATTGTTGAGCATGCTAGTTATAGTATACAGATGCATTGTCTTATTTATCTGTTTATTGTTTTTTAAGTTCACAGTTTTTTGCAGAGAAAAAATCTAATGAATAATACTATAAATAATAATAGTCACGACTACAGAAGAATGATCTTTTTTTAAATTAAAGTAATGGAGTATGAAACTTTCAGAATTTCAAGAGACGCTGCTTCTCATGAGATTTAGCATGAAACTAAAGAAACTAAGTTTGAACTGATGAGGTCGTAAAGTATCATTTGAATAAATAACTGTGCACACTTACTCTAATCTTTATGATTAAAAGATAATTGTTAATGGGTAATATAGTTTATGTACCATCTACAAAAAAAAAAGATTGGTGGGGGAAGGAACAAAAAATATTGGCTTGTCAGGCTACTTTTTGTAGTTTCCATGGTATATATCAATATATATAAAGAGTTTTTGTATATAAACATTCTGTATTTTTGAATGAAGTCTTTGAAGGCATTAATGTGGATGTTTTGATATTGAAAAATGAAGTTAAATTCTTATGCAACAGGTGGAATAAGTAAAAAATTATCAAAACATGAGTTTAAGTGTTGCTGGAAAGTAGAAGGTAAAAATAAATGCCAGTTTTCTGATTGAATTAATGGTATTTATTGGGGGTGAAATTTAGGACTTTTTTTGGTTATTTACATATGTTAATAATAGCATGAGCTGTAAGTTAGCTAAGTGTGCAGATGACAAATTGAGCAAGTTATATGGGAAAGTAAATTCTGAGGAGAATTATGTTTTGATTCAAAGAGGTCTGTGTGGTTGAGAATTTAAAAAATATTTTTTATATTAAGAGGTGTAAGTTTAGTGCTTAAGATACAGAAACTTAAGAACTACTTGTTGTATGAGCAAAATCTGTTGTAGTGAGGGAAAAGGATGTGATACTGAGAAAAGCTAAATGTCTTCAACCAGTTGTGAGAATGACCAGAACAAACCAACTTTCTGATTGTTTTTAAACACATTTTTAGATGAAGTATTTTTGTTTTGTTTTTTAATTTTTGCATAATTTTACTTAGACATAATTTAAGATACAATGTTCAGATTTGATCACTCTTATAGGAAGGATATCATTCTCCTGGAACACGAGCGTGGAGAAGAGGTACCTGAATGATAGATATTTAGAAAATTTTGAGGTATGAGGAGAGGCTGAAGCATTTTATATAATTCATGTTTTGAGGAAACTCAGAGCATGGATAGGTTACTTACTGTGCTTTTTGCCTTTGATCTGATAAGATTAATAATTATAACTTGAATAATGAAGGTAATAAATATAGACATTGAAACTAAACCAAGTGTAATTTTTGGAGTTTTGAACTTGTATAATAGTTCATTTGATTATGTGATATTTGCTGATAGTTTGAATTCATTTTAAACCTTTGCTGGATTGGTCAGGAAAGACTTCTAGAACACAAATTAAAAACTAAGATATTTTTCGTTACAAAGTTGTTTTTTTTATCTATACCTTTATTAAGTGAATTACTGGAAATCACACTCTACCCTGACAAGGTTTTTAACCCAGAACCCTGGCTCACAGTGAGACTGATATTCTATCAACTGTGTCAGTAGAGCATCAGGTCTAAAGCAGGCCTCTTCATTTATCACATTTTAATTTTAAAAGATGCTCTTATCCAATTAATATAGCATATCACATGAGAACTTCATTCATAAATCTTCCATTTCACAATTTATTTTGAGTCCATGTTTGGGGCCAACTTGTAAAATTCTTAAATCCTATGTAGATGAATAACAATGTACCTTGATCATGATTTAAGACCAGTGCTTTACTACTGGGCTAAAATCATAAGCAGATCACTCTTAGGTTACATAATTTCTCACTGAAAGAAGATTTGTTCTTGACCTTACAACACAATGTCACCCAGCATGCTCAAGACACCAACACATAACATACACCTCTAAGTCATTGGCACAGAACACACACACTGGCTGTCTTCTAACCAACTGCATAATCACACATGCATATGTGAAACTAGTTGCTGAGAAAACAAGTTCAGAGATCTTAACCTATCGTCATATGATAACATTCCAATCCAAGATATCATTCTAATAGTCCTCTGAATCAACTAATCAATGTGAATGCTTCTGATTATTACTATTTAAAATCATTCCAACTGTATAAGTCTTATGAAGATAATAAATCAATGAGCCTAACAATTAATCACTTATCAAATTCTACTAATTGTTCAGCTCTAATACAGGACTTCAAGTCAAAAGCAAACCACCCTCCATCTAGTTCACTTTCAGATTCAGTAAGGGAACCAAACACAAATGGAGAAATAGCCAGCTATTTGTTTTACATTAAAAAGCAAATGTGCTCTTTATAAGAAGGAAGTACCAAACTTATGAATTAATGCAATCTATTCTCTCCATTTTATATCCTCTGTGTCATTTACATCGTAATTGGTGTAATTATGAGCTAGGTTGATTAGTCTTGTTTTTTAATTAATGTAACCAAGTTCATCCTAATTTGTATATTGTGGTATTTATATTATTTGTATGAAGTGGGCTAGACATAAAGTATTATATTTTGTGGTTGAATGCATCAAATGCTTTTTATTTAGAAAGTATTTGTATTTATATAACAATTCATAGGATTTTCTTTATCCTTCTTGTACATGTAAATGTATATTTATGCTGCAATAGAATGTTAGAAAGCTTATTACATGTTTTATATATATATAGCATGGGTAATACACTGTGTGAAGAGAACAGTCTTGAAGGATTCTCGGTACAGGATATTTTAAAGCCTGGTAAGTAGTCTGTCCATAACTTTCTGTGTACAGTAAGCCCATTATTCCATATTCATGCATCTCTTCAGTAATGTACAAGTCAGTGTTTTTATATGTGTATTGAAAGAGCTGGTGGAACTATTATGAATTAATATGTATACACCACCAATTACCATATAAATACTCTCAACACTAGAAGCTTTTTTAATTGTTTCAATAGTCAGGAATTACATGTAGATGTGTTAATTGGGTCAAAACTGTGTGTGTGTACATGCAGAGGTGTAGTGTGATTTCTTAAGTTGGTGGTGCACCAGAAAATTAGCTAAAACCATGATGGTTCCTGTGTTGGTAATCATGTTCCACAATTTTCACATTCATATTTCGTTCCATTTTTCAGTTATGACATGACACTGCAAACTGACTTCATGATCATCTGTACATGGTTGTTAAGCTTGTTATACATTTCTTTAAACTTGAACTAATATGAAAATAGAAATTAGGGACTTTTGTACACTTATTATTTAAGGTTATGATTACTGATCCTTAGAACCTTGTATGTATTGTTGCGTAAGCGAGGTCATGTGACTAATGTCACGCCACTTCTCTCGCACCTTCGGGAATAGTCGGGAGATTACTAGATATAGGGGGGTCTGGTATATATATATATATATATATATATATA